TCTGGGCACCTAGAGACAGGTGTTGGCTTTGGCCCACCTACTATGTACCAGGTACCATGCTACACCAGGGTTCCCAACAGCTCTGCCTCGGACCCGTCTGTGGGACACACTGCCTGGCTAGTATACCAGGAAAGTCTATCTTCCACTAACCATCCATGCTAACCTGACAATCATCACAGTGTGACCCCTGGGCACAGAGGAAACCAGGCCTGGGACTTCCCTGGTCCATTTCCCTACAGAGCTGCCTATGGTAGGGGGTGTGGAGGAGGAACAGAGTGGTTTACTGTGCACAAATGGAGGGGGCCAGCCGCACAGACTCTAGACGCTTCCTCACCACAGTGTGAGGCTCACAGGACTTCAGGTCTTCCCAGCTGGCTCTCATCACCATCAGCCCTCCCTGTGAAAGCTGTTCCCCTAACTTCCCAGAGAAGGGGCAGGGTAGGGGCGAGGCTGCAGTAATCTGAACCAGGTCTCAGTTGCGATGGGTCTCTGTCCCCACAGTGTGATGCCACCGTTCCCTGGTCAGGGAATCCAGATGCAGTTGTAATGGGGGTGAAGGGAAGAGAAGGGGTCCTGTCTGCCTCCCTGTGGTGGTCGTAGGATGTTGAGCTGCCCAGTGCATCCTTTCTGTTGGACATTTGACCCATCCCAACCACCCAAATCCTGTCCCTGGACGTGGTCACACGGCCCCGGCCTGATGGGAAAATCAGGATGTTCCACGCACCTGGATGACCTCAGGGAAGAATACAGGAGCCACATCTGGCCAACTGTGCTGTTTTCCAGGGCTCCTTAGAAAGATTCATTCCTTTTCTCTGGATCCCACATCCTGGGAAGATGTGAGGACACTACTGGACATCTTATATTAATGTGCAAATGCCACTGCCCAGGGCCCAGGGTGCCTGCAGCCTCCTGTGCCCATTTAGATCTCTCATTATGGGACCCAGGATCTTTTGTTTTTATCCTATGGTTGTCAAGCATTTCTAAGTGTTTCTGAAGCAATCCTGGAAAATTCACCAGGAAATTCTCTTTCAAGCTCCTTCCCCCAATATCTGTCCCAAGTGTTTCCTTAACAACTTCAGGGTCCAGAAACATCCCACAAGGTCATCTCAGAGGTTTGGTCCAGAGAGTGAGCAGCTCAGAATGAGCAAGAGGACAGTACTAGACAGGTGCACAGCAAAGTCCCAAAATGTGTGAGAGATGAGGATCCGGCTGTAAATAATGTCAGAAGCAAAGGGCAAAATCGGGAACTGTCCTGAATCCTATGTGGTCAGTCTGTGTGTAAGGGTTGAGCCACTGATGGACTTTGAGCAGGGCTGTGGCACGCCTTGCTCTGCAAGGAGAGATGGAGTAAAGTGGAGTGGTGAGCACACAGGAGGCTGTTGGGACCAGGGGGAGAAAGGAGGGGGTGTTACAGAGAAGCCTCTGTGGAGCTTGGTAACCATTGGTACCTCTCAAAGTGTTTCTCTCACCATCATAGGCAAGTAGGCAAAAAGCAGAGGCAGGTGGCACTTGGGGGCAGGGCAGGCAGATCAGCAATAAGGACTGAGGGCTCTTCAGAGACTTCCACTCAGTTGCAAAGCCTAACAGCAGATAGGTCACAGATTCCTTAATTTGTTGATGTCTAAATTGCGGTCCAGGGACAGGAAGGAGCCTGACAAAGGTTACTCAGCTTGTCAGCAGAAGAGCCAGGCCTAGAGGCCAGGATTCCTGTCCTGTCCACTTGAGCCCCATCCTGTGATGCTGTCTCATTTGTTGCTCTCCCAGGAAATCACCCTGGGAGGCCAGTTAGTCCTGGTCTTGTGACTTAGGGGGAAGCATGGCTGCCGAGGAGGGCCTGTTGAACAGTAAATCACAGAACCAGGGGGGAGGAGAGGGTTCAGTAGCCATAAATCTCTTCAGAATTTTAAAAGGAGCTGGGGAATATTGACATGAATTAAATCCAATAAAACATTCATTTAATTAAACTTTAAATGATCCAAATATTTGCTGTTTGGTTAATATTTGTGTAGCTGACAGGAGCAGAATTACGACGGTTCTGTCGGTACTCACGTATTCTAATTTTGCATGAGTTTTTCCTTGCACAAACTGTATGTCTTCAAACATACAAATGATGGGGAATGTGACTAAGAAGGATGCCGCAACAAGCTGCCCTAGCTGCCCAGGGCTCAAGGGACACAGAAGGTTTCCAACTCCCTCTTGAATATTCTAACTTGTTTGCTTTTAGCCCCAAGTTCCTGGGTCCTCCAGACCTTTATCTAAAGTTGCTAGATATATATGACTTTGGGGTCCGTGGAAGGGGCTTCTACACTTCACGTCACTGCTATATTCCACTGTGACACTTGCAGCCCTGGAAACCCAACCTAACAGACTTCCTGGTCTCCCATCCTGTCATGCCTCCTTCCGGACACCCAGGCCCCCTTCCATCTTGGAAGGCACTGGTTCCCAGGCTTCAGGAGCACAAAGAACCACCCAGTTGCCCACCCCACTTACCCACGAGAGTCTAAAGTAGCCTAGGCAGTGGGGCAGGACTTTGAGTGCTAATTACTTGGAGATAGGAGGCAGGAGGCTGGGGAATCATACCTGAGAAGCATAGCTCCAGGGTCCAGGAAAGCCCTGCCTCCTCCAAGGGCCTCTTTCCTTCTAGTCTGATAGAGTTCAGGTGCAGAGAAAGTATAGATTCCTTTTGTAACTATCCTGACTTCTTCACCCCCACTGGGTGAAAGAAACAACTTGATGCTCCATCCATTGGAAAGCCTGATTCCACATAAGGAATGTTCTGTGTAAGAAGAATGCTTCTCTGTATTTCCAACCTTTATCCCATGTCCCCCACACCCCCCATGCCCTCCAGGCTGCTTCTGGTGAGCAGAGAAGCAGCATGGCTATCCTCTGCTGTCCCTAGGTCCTACTGGGAGAACTTGTACCCTGCTGAGGTCAGCCCTGGGTGTGCTGTCCCAGCCAAGAACCCAGATGCTGCCCCCTCACCAAGGTCAGGCCTCCTATATCTCTTACTGCCACTAGCACCCCCTCTGGGCCCTGGCCCACCGTCCTATGTAGTCCTCAAGTACAGAGCTACAGAGCATTTCACACTCAGCCCCTGGGCTGCCAGGTTCTGGCTTACACAGGTGAGGGGAGCAGACAGCTGGGGTGCACAGTATCCTTCAGAGCCCTCCTTGGTTCCCCTCTCCTACACATCTGCAGTCTCCCTTCCCATTCCCACAGCCTCCTGGGGAAAAGAGAGGCATTTCATCCCTCTTCTTGCTTAAAGCAGTCATCTGGAGAGGAAGGAAACCTCTCTCCACCTGAGAACTCTGGGTTCAGAGGCCAAGGGCCTCCGGGATACAGTGGGAGCTAAACAATTTCAGCAAATCCACCTCTTTCCCGCCTCTGAATTTCTAAAGCCACAGTCTTGCTACAGAGAGTTGGTGCCCTCTCTCTCCTGCCCTGAGCAATAAGCCTTCTGACTTGGAGGTGGGAGGGCAGCAGGCAGTCTGTGATTTACGAGGGAACTTGAAATGCATCACTTTAATGTTTGTGATATATTATGCTGGTTGTGTCTGCATCCATCACCCGGTGCTTATCTTTCCTCATGCAGCTCCTTCACCATGAGTCACATTTTTCCTGTGTGTGATTGCCCCTTCCGCACTGGCCTCTTGGCTCTTTTGCTCCTTTATTTCTATTTGCTCCATTGTTCACCCATCCATCCAACAAGCACTGATAAAGTGCCGAGTGTACGTCTTGCTCATCTTTGTGTGCCCAGGACCTGCCCACTAACTGGTGGTGAATGAGGAAGAAGCTTTGTTCCTCTGAATTTGACCTTAGGTGCTGGCTTTCAACGCACACACTTCAGTGCATTGTACCTGTGGCTCTTTATTCTCTCCCTCCTCCACATAGTGCAGAGAGTGTGAGCCCGGACGTTCAGCCTGCAGTGGTGCTGCAGCTGGTCTCAGCTCACAAGCATCCCGCGGAGTCACAGAGCTCGGCTTCCAATTGAGGGCTTTGTCCTGGAGTCATTGGAGGACACCCATATCCCAGTAGAGTAGCAAGAGTAGAGATGGCTCCCAGCATTTCTGCAGGCACTCAGAATGCAGACCTCCAAAGCCAGCCTGCCTCCCTCAGTTCACACCACTTCTGGCTACCGCACCAAGCCCTCTGTGTGGGCAGATTTGAGGGAAAGCATAGAGGTCCCAATCCATGAAGGGCTGTCACTGTTCCCCCAAGCCCGATCCCATTTTCACATTTGAGGAGCCTGAACTTGGTTAATTTTCCATAAATCCTAAGATTTATGAAAAAATTGTTCAAAAAGCCTGTGGCGGCAGAAAGGTGTTTTAGACTGTACCTATTTTCCTAAAGAACGGGTCACTCTTAAAGCCAGTAATCAAGGTTTAAATGGCAAGGATTTATAATTTGGCCAGTCTAAAGTACACATCAAAAAATGAAAGGCCACAGTTCATGGTCACAGAACAGAAATCCAAATCCAACTTCAGTGAATCTTCAGACAGAAACAAACCTTCAAAGGTCAGCCAGTTCATTCCCCAGACTTCAGACAGTGCAACCTTTAAGCTGCCCCCAGATGGACAAGATTCCTGTCGGCTTCCTAACAGACCTTGACTCCTCTTAGCAGGGCTCTGACTTCATTAGGCTGGGGGAGCTGCAAGCAGTGTGTCTCACAGCTAGCTCTCTGTCTCTCTGGTCGATGGCCCTGTGGCCCTGCAGCCAGTGTTGGCAGCTCCACTCAAATCCATGGCCCAGAGGGTTCCGCTCACATTAGCTGTGATTTTGGCCTGCTTTTGACATACAGAGCCTTTGGGGCATTAGACATAAGTCATGGCACATCTCCCAGTGATAGTGCTCATCTGTGCGTTTAGTTAGCTCATTATAAACAACTTTCAGGAGGAAAGCTCCTGTGAGCTTCACCTCTGAGTGAACCTGTGCCCTTTCACTTGGTGTTGAGATTCGACCCCTCAACTTGTACCTGACTGCCTTCTTCTTTCCCTCTGCAGAGGTGGTTCAGCTCAGCCTCGCCCCTGAGGACAGGGTCAGCGTGACAACAGTGACAGTGGGACTGAGCACAGTACTAACCTGTGCTATCCGTGGAGACCTGAGGCCACCAATCATCTGGAAGAGGAATGGGCTTACCTTAAACTTCCTGGACTTAGAGACATCAATGTAAGTTACCGGGCAGTTATTCAGAGTTCAAGTGTACCTTCTGGGGAAGTCAACTGTTTAGAATGCCGTGTGGCCACAGGAGCACAGGTTTTCAGTTTAACATCCCATATTTGGTGCTTTTCAATCCCCTGATCAGCCTGTTGATATCAGAAGACCCACGTCCCAGCATGTGCAAAGGATAGGATGAATAGAAGCCATCAGCCTGGTCACCATGCCCAGGCTCAGGATTGGGGGAGGCAGGTTGGCAGAGCAGGAGACTCTGACAGGGGGTCATGCATTAGCAAGGACCTATGGGAGACCCTGAGAGTAGGGCTGGAGAGAAGTGGGCAGAGGTATAGGCCATGAGCAATCAGAGAGCACAGCCAGGCAGGAGGCTTTGGAACAGGGGAGAGCAGCTGGCTGGGGAATTGGGGGCAGGTGTGGGGGACACAACAGGGAGACTCTGAACCCTACACCTGGGTAGGGTATGGGCAGCTGAATGTGGGAAGAGTGGTAGTCCCTGTGGAGGGCAGAGATGAACCAGGGGACTGGATTGGCAGGAGGGCAAGTGCCAGGTGAGGAGTTAGAGGAAAAGCAGTCAGGCTAGAGGACGCCTGCCTAGGGACCTTCTTTGTTTGGCTTGGGAAGTGATGAGTGGCAGTGCTTGACAGAAGAGAGCAGCTGAGCTCATGCAGCCTGAGGTGGCCAACAGGGGTGCTTCTTGCACTCTGAGGAACCAGGCAGCCGGGTTGGAGCTCCAGCATCACCCACATCAGCTTTGTGACTTTGAGTAATTGCTTAGCCTGCTGACCCTACCATCTGTAAGACCTTTCCTCTGTAAGAAAACCAACATTAGTAACACCTCCCTTCCATTGGCCTGAACGAAGGAGTAGAGTAACACAAGTGTGTTTATTGGTCCATCTTTGGCATTAAGAGTTGATGTAGCTGCCCAGAAGTTCATGGGAGAAGGCAGTGATGTCACCCAAGTAGTAAGCTGCCAGGGTAGCTGATGGATCTTGGCCTAAAATAACAGGAATATAATTTTCAGGCAGGAGAGGGAGCTACCCTGGTCTCCTTGACTAAGGACAGCACAGCTGGTCCACATAGATTGCTTGCCCAGGGAAGGAAGAGCTTCGGGATGAGTGGTCAGTACCTGAACATCTGTAAGGAGGTGAGGCAGCAAGAGCTGGCCTGAGTTGTGTGGCCCCGTGAATAGGACTAGCATCCCCAAAGGATATTATTTTGGGTTCCTTAGATGGAACACCATTTCAGCCTTCAAACTTGCATCACAGTGGAATGAGGCAGTGAGCCTCTCATCCCTAGGGCCATTCAAGCTCGGACAGAATGTGGCCAACAATGCTGCTAGGCTCAAGAGGGCAGCTAAACTCATGATGACCTTGGTGGGCCTCCCAATGCCGAGACTGTTTCATGGGAAGAGAGGTCCAACATGAAACAGTGCAGGAACCACTGGAGTTGAGAATTGGAGACTCACTTGTCCCCTTTGGCTATACTCTGGAGATGACAAGGGAAGCAGATGAGACTAGGGGACCATTCTGGAGGTTCCAACCTGGGCAGAGCTTGCCAAGCTGGCCAGGGTTTCCTTGTAATTTTCTCCACTCTGGTATGGACAGCCAGTATCCTATTCTGTGTATCTTTGAATGTCAGCACAACACAACCCTGGTGGGCACATGATAAATTCTGCATGAGCAGAGTCCCTCATTCTCTAGGCCTGAGATGGCCAGGGCTTGTCTGAGACCTTAGCAAGGTCTCAGACATCCTATATGTAAAGATGTGTGTGCGTCTGTGTTGTGGTGTGTGGGTATGTGGAGTGTCAGCTTTTAAACACATTTGGCCAATTCAGGTCTAGGATAGGGTTGCCTATGCCTGTGAGTCCATGTGCATCGCTTGGTTTCCATTTAAACACATCAGAAACAAAGGCAGAGGCAAAACTCCTCTTAATGCACTTGCCATCAGTTAATTAAATTACTCTGAATGTTTTTCCCTTGCTCAAACATGCCTCCAGCACCAACTTGATTGCATTTCTCCTTTGCACAATAAGGTTAGCAATTTGGATAATTGTGGGTGCAACCAGAGATGAATGGCCCCTCGTTACCTCCCAGGAAACACTTGCTACCCATGACTGAGTCTGTAGCCTGCAAACAGACCACCCGTGCTTCTCAGAAACCCTCAGGTGGGGGTGCAGGGTGACCCCCCCATAGGGATCCTCGTCCACTACATGCAAGCATACATAAAATACAAACACCAGGCATGCCTACCCCTGCCTCAGAGAGGGGAAACACAGCCTGCTAGCAAAGGGTATAGGTTCTGGGGCCAAAAGGGGCCTGAATTCAAGTCTCAGCTCTGCCACTTACCAGTTGAGTAACTTTGGAAAGAGCCCTTGACCTCTCTAGGCCTCAACTTCCTGTCTGTGAAATGGGGATAAGCGATAGTACGAGCCTCATAGAATTATAGTGAGGATTAAGTGAGGTGCTGCATGTACACTTCTTAGCATATGATAGTCCATAAGTGCTCTTGTTGTTGTTACATTGTTGTCATCATTCCCTTTATTAACACTGTTGCTAGTGCTGCTGTTAAGCCACATTCTCAACACCTTGCAGGCTGAGGTCCCAGCGAGCAGCCAGCAACAGCTCAGGAGCTTCCAGTCAGGCAGCTATGGCCCTGGTGAACCCCTGTGGCTTGTTGTCAGGGATGAGGACAACACCATCCATGTTAGCCTCAATTTATTCAGGAGAGGGCTACTGACCAGAAACTTCCAGAGCAAACTTGGGTCAGCTGTGGCCTTCTCTGAGCCATGGAGAAACGGAGATCATGATGTTCTCTTGCTCGGGCATTCACTGGCTGACTGTGTATGGCACATCCAGCTCAGCACCTGGCTCCCAGAAGCCTCAGATCCAGGAGGAAATCAGCCAAAGAGGGCTAGGAGCCAGGTTCTCAGAAGCCATGGGGCATTTTTGAAGCAAGAATTGGTCAGGGGAGCTAGGCATGTGGCTTATGCCTAGTTAATCCTAGCTACTAGGGTGGGAGGATCAATGTTAGAGGCCAGCTTGGGGAAAAAGTCCATGAGACCACATCTCAACTGATAAAATCTGGGTGTGGTGTTATGTGCCTGTCGTCCCAGCTGGGCAGGAAGCCTAAATAGGAGAATAGTGGTCCAGGTTAGTCCAGGCATAAAGCAATACCCTATTTGTAAAATATGTGAAGTAAAACGTGCTGGTATTGTGGCTCAGGTGGTAAGAGCACCTGCCTGGCAAGTGCAAGGCCCTGAGTTCATACCCAGTACTGCAAAAAAAAAAAAAAAGAAAGAAGAAAAGGGCAATCCTGGGAGCAAAGATTCTGAGGTCTATAGGGTTCCCATATATCCTCAGCCTGTGGTGTCTCAGCTTCCACCCCACCTGCCACAGCAAGAGCAGAAATACAATCACCAGCATTGTAATTAGTGCATGGCCCCCAAACACAGCCGCACATGGGAAACGGATCAGCCTTCGAAACCCAAGTCAGGGAGATTAGAGAACACCAAGAGGTGCGGACCTCCTTTCTTTGTCATTCTTGTGAGACGTCTTGATTGGCAACAAAATATTAATCACTTTTCACCACTCTCTTAATGAGACGCTTTCATAGGCAACAAAATATTAATTTGTCTTGTCTTATCTGTTAAGAATTCTGTTAATGAATTCAGTCACAGAGCTATTATAGAATGCCATCCTAATGACACATGTAATTAAACTTTTCTGACTTGCAAACATCAAAGATGCCTTGAGCATCAGAATAATATTTGATCAGAAAGTAAATGTACCCCTCTAGCCTGGAGGCAAACGAGAAGGAGCAGTGAGCACCGCTGTTTGTCAGAAGCACTTATGAGTCACTCATCCTATGCATGCCCAGCCAGATGGCAAACACGGGGATTGATTCACTTACTAAGTGCTGGCAAGCCATAAAAGCCCTGTATCAGAGCACAGAGCAAAGATCCTGTCCCCAGCCTGCAGAGGAAGCAAGAGTTTCGAGTGACAAGAGTAAGTGAGAGGAGTGGGAAGGCCCAGTTTGGGGTCAGAACCTGAAAGGCCTTGAATGTTAACACAAGAGCCTTGATTGCTCCCTGCTAGACAGACATGAACCACAGATTTTTAATTAGGGAATGATATGGTCCAAGAAGGGTCACAAACAACATGGGACCCAGAAGGAGGGGAAATTGCTGCTACTGTTCTGTTTTCCCCCTAACTCCACCAAAGTTCCCTCCATGTGACCTGGCCCTGTTCACAGCACCTGGTGAGTCTCCTGTGAAGCTGGGGCCACCACTTCACAGGAGCCTCCAGCCTCACCCCACCCAGCTTCTAGGAGGGAAACCTAAGTCAGCACCAGCAGAGGGCAGCTTTGTGGACTAAGAGCAGAGCCCCAAAGACAGGTCCTCCCCAGCAAGGCAGCTGCCTAGGGTGTGAGCTGAGCTGCAGTCTTGCTGTGGTTCTCTAGTTATGACACCTCTTTCCATTTGTTTGATGAGAAATCAGTAGTTTCCATTCTTGCCAGAGTTCCCCAGAACTAACAAAGATCAGTCTGTTATTTGTTTACTTCCTGGGCAACTGTTGGTTTCTTTACTGAAGCAGCCATGGGTCTGGATGTTCTTCAGATCTGGTGCTGTGGCCCCCTCACCTCGGCCCTCAAGAAATCATAGCCAACACTGCCACCCCAAAAGCTAGGCTGGGGTGGCTACCAGCAGCACCCTGAGCTCTGCCTTTCCTGGGCTTGGCCAGACTGCCTGGCCCCAGGAACTTGCCAGTGTCTGCCTTGCACCCCACAGGCCCTCCTACTATGGGCAACAGAAACCAGTGGTCAGGTTACCCTGCCTGTAGCATCTGCTCTGCTCAGATGACAGTGCTCTGTGGGGAGAGTCATATACTCTCACTCCCAAGACACCAGGGACAAGCATCTCTCTGCAACCAGAACCCATGAGAGGTTCATCCTCAGGGAGAGCCCTCTGACTAGACACCAGGCTATCTTAGGAAACAGAAA